CCCAATAATAAATGATATTGATTATTTTTTTTCAACGTTCATGAAATTTTGTAATTAGTGATTGATCCCCAAGACAATGACGGCGTAAGAAAAACTTGTTTGTGAATCTTACATTGCTACCAAATACCCAGAAGCCGCAAAATGAAGGCGGGGCCGATGGGAAGTCTGTGATTGGAACAAAGCTTGCAAAAATTAATAATTCCTATAATCATGGGTAAAAAGGGATGAAAAAAATATATCTTAAGGAAATACGAGATAAACACAAACTACTCTCTTCAGAACGTTTTATTAACAAATAAGACAAGTTCTTATAAATATGTTTAATTATGGGGAAAATATGTTTAAAAAATTACACAGTTAAAAGAATTATCTTAACTAATTATTTTTTATATAACTAACATGACATTTTAACTGCTAAATTAGATTTTTCAGGTATTAAGTTAACATTGCAAAATTTCATTTACACTTGGAAAATATTAAGTTGAAATATTTTAAGAGTAAATGTAATCTTTGGAGAATAATTAAAATCTGTAATGTGGTTTATTGTTAAATTAATGTTACTAACTTATATTTTTTTTTAAAAAAAAATAGTATTTTAAGAATGCTTTAGTTATTGATATTTCCTTTAAAAAGGAAAAGAGGAAAGAAAAAGAAATACGTTTTGAAGTAAATTTTTTTTTTTTTTTTTTTTTGCAAAAATAAATTTTATTTACTATTTTTAACATATCTGGTTAAAAAGTATGAAACATTGCGCAGTAAACTTAAAATATTACACCTCTTTACCAGAATTACATTTAGAAAATGAAGAAAAAAAAACTAGATTGAAGTAATTATTCAACTGACAAATGTATGAAAAAAATCTAGTTAGGAATTTTGAAATACTTCCTCTGACAAAAATAAATATAAAAAAAAATAATAAAAAAATAAATAAACCCAAAAGTTTTTATTTTTTTCATTTTGTAAAATTTTAAAATATACCGGATTAAAATTTTTCTTATTTTCAACAAAAATAATTCCATACTGGATCAAATATAGATATTTCAACTATTTGATTTTACGTTTTACGCAGATCTAGCATATTCTTAGATTTATTTGAAATTGAATCCTTTCATATTGTGCAATAACTGGCACAATAGTCTGCTTGCAATCAATAAAAAGAAATAAATTAATCTAATAAATTTAATTTGAACTCTATAATTTACATATTATTTTAGAATTTATGCTAAATGAACAAATAAAAAGAAACGGATATTCTTATTCAATCTACTAAGTAACGGGTGAATTGATGAATGAAGAATAACTAAAAAAAAAAAAAAAAAACTTACAGGTGATATGGTTAGAACAGCTTGGAAAAGGGGGAAAGAATAAAGTAACTTCTCCCATTTATTCGTTTCTTAGTTCTGTACTTGTTATCACCTGTTCAAACAGGTAGATTCAAAGAATAAAAGAAACTTTTTTTTTTATTCTATACTTTCTTCTTTTTAATCACAACAATGGGAATCAAGTTGCTTATTTATACAAACTAATTTTTTTCACCTCAATTTCTAATTTATATTCAATTTTTCAGTTGCGAAAACATAAACAAAACGTTACTTTTTGTAATTAAATTAAATACAATAGCCTTGAATGTGGCATTTTAATTTTATATTTTTTTCTTGTAATTGAATTTCGTGAAATGTAATCTAATATTAAATGTAACAATGCATTTAAAAAGTACAAGTTTAGAATCTCAAAGCCTTATTTTTGCGAAACAAAATAAAACATTTACGAATGTTTACTTTTTAGCGAGCAACTTTTTATTTTATTTTTCGATACGAAATCTTAATTATATTTTAATCTTAATTATATTTTAATCTTAATAAAATTTAGATTTATTTAAAATTAGTAATGGAAAAAACAAACAAACTAAAGCTGAGTTTTGAAATACGGCAATAACAACTCAGCTTTTACGCTTTCTTTTTGTGGAAGAGGGAAAAATATGATTTTTAATTACATCTTAAAATTTACAAAACAGTTTCATAATGATTATTTTCATCTCTTTGTACTTAAAACTCTCCAATATTCATTAGGCGATAGATCTCTGCAAAAACATTAAAACTTCATCTATTATTGAAAGCTCTTTCATTGGATTATAGATTTATATAAAAACATAGAACACTTTTTATCGTGTGAGTGTAACGGTCGCGTACACGTAACGACTCGTGGCCTTATGCTTGTCACCTGCGCAAATTATTGAATCATGCAGTGAGGAAGAGTTCTGCCAATTGACAAGGGAGAAAAGCTATTTACGAAAATGATTACGGTGTTGGAGTTAAATTAAGTAAATTTAAAGAAAGATAGTTACGTTAAAACAGACATGATTCAAAATTGATGTTAAGTGGCTCATATCAGTTTTTTGAAATGGAATTGTAAGATAAATGTCAATTTAGAATGTTTATTTACTCGTTTAATAATTACTTAAAATGTCGCGTTAGGACAGTTTATGTACTAGACAGTTTATTTTGCCCAAAACCAGTTTAATAGTAACTCAAAATATCACGCCGAAACGTTTATTTTGCATAAGACTCGTTTAATATTAGCTCAAATTACTATCATACTAAAAAGTTTATTTTGCCAAAACCCAGTTTAATAGTAACTCAAAATATCATGCCGTAACGTTCATTTTGCATGAAACTCGTTTAATATTAGCTCAAATTACCGTCATACTAAAAAGTTCATTCTGTTCCGAACCAGTTTAATAGTAACTCTAAAATATCACTCTGAAAAGTTTATTTTACTCAAAAACTTAATTAATGATAGCTCAAATTATTTATAAAAATAGAAAGTTTATTTTGCTCAAAACCAGTTTAATAATAACTCAAAATATCAAGCTAAAAAGTTAATTTTACACAAAACCCGTTGCTGAAATTAATAATTCAAAATACCGAAATAAAAAATACACAAAACTCATTCAGTAAACTCATTACGGAATTATTTTTAATAGTGAAGAAAAGTTTAACTCTTCAAAATTCAACCTTTTCATAAGATCGTGCATGAGCCATGAATGCGATTAGTTCTATAGTATAAAATTTAATTTCGATAAAAAGAAAATACAAATAAACATTGTCTGAATATAAATAAAAGAAATCTAGTATATTACGAAAGGAATAACAAAAAAAAATATTGGACAAGCTCAATTTTTATCAAAATATTATTATTAATAACATTATTTTTGCATTAATTATTAAAAAATATTATTATTAATATTTGTCTATAAAAATTTAATTAATTATGACTTAGAATTTATTAAATAATGATTAAAAGTTCAAAGTATTATTTTCATTATGATTTTATGTATTTTTATTTTTTTAATACATTAACACCTCAATAAAAAGGTTTATTAATTAAAAACTTCCTTCGACTTATTTAAAGAATAATTTTATAATTACTGCCAATGCAATTCAGTACGTATTAGTTTAAAATTATATTTCAATCTAAAAACAATCGATAAAACATATTTGCCAGAAAAAGGTCCTGAATGTACAGAAAAACCGTTAAAGAACTAACAAAAGCCATGGCGTCACGTGATCTGCAACGGAATCGTTTGATGCGATCCGGCAGATGGGCCCCTTCAGAAGCCGATTTAAAAGGCCCGCATGACTAACATTCCCCGAGAACTCTTCTCGCTATTATTTCTGCACAACCAGTATGAAGAAAGGACAAAAGAGAATGTGAAAATAATCTCTAAAATATTTTTTTCTTCACTTCTTAATATATTTTAACTTCGATTTTACTTTTCTTTTTTCCGAATGAAAAAAAAAATGAATATCCAAACGACATCGACAGTTCTATTCCTGTTCTTCGAGGGCTTTTAAGCGAAGAATATGTTTTTCCAAACGTGGTGATTTAGGATATGGAAAGATGTTAAGCTCTCGCAATTTAATTAATTAATATTTGAAAAAATACTAAAACATTAAATTGTTTATGCTTATTAAAATATGCTAAAAATTTAGAATTATTTATGATTTTTATATCTAGGAGAAAAATCTCTCCCAATTGGAGATACACTTTAAAGAATTTACTAAAAAATATTCAAATTACGCATTCGTTTTAGTGTAAAAATATTTTTCTTCAGAAAGGAAATAAAAACGATAATTAATAAGAATGATTTTTCAATTTTTTTAGGGCTTTTTTTTTTCGAAGGCTCCGTTGTCATATAAATTAATGCTTTTTTGAGAATAATGCCATTTTCATGACTGCTGTGAGTTTGCAACAGTTACTCATGACTGTATGGTCAAGTTTAGCCTATCTTTAGCCAGCGCCCTCTATACTCATTCTGAAAATGGTGCAAAACGTCAATATGGGGTAAAGTCACAGTTTTGTAAAAATGAAAAGCGTTTGCGGTCTAATCTTCTAATATTTAAAAACTCACTCCAATGTTGCATAGTCTGAGCTCAAAAAAATTTTCGAAAACTGAGGATAAGGCAGTAATTTTGATAATTTTCTTCTATGGGGTAAAATATCGCCAAATTGGCGATTTTTATAAAAGTTTAATAACTTTTAAAATATTTTAGTTATTTGTCCGTTCTAAAGCCCATATAATTTTTCACGGCAAGATGACATATATAGTTTAAAACCATCGCTTTCAGTAAAAGGCACTTAAATTGTTGTTTTTTTAAACTTTTATTTTCCTTAGCGACAGATCTTCGAAAAACCATGTTAATGATTTTTACCAAAGAGAAAAACCTTGCCAAATTGCAGATATTAAAAAAAATGTACTAATTCTTTGGAGAAAAAAAATATTCAAACTATACGTTTTAATGTAAAAATATTTTTCTACAGAAAAAAAAATTATTAATTAATAAGAATGATTTTTTAATTATCAATGATTTTATTCGCAGAACAATAATTCTATACAATAATAATTTATTTATTATATAAATTAACGTGTCAAGTTAAAGTAATGGTGTTTACACTAGGAAATATTAGAACTAAAATATGTAATTATTTTTATTACTTACTTGCAATAAAATTCTCCTTTTGGGTTGGCAACGCAAGAGGCACCGTTTTGACAGGGGTTTGGGGAGCATGAAGCAAGACCTGAAACAAATCAAACATACATTATAATAAGATTTATTGAAAATTGTGTTAAAAATATATTTTTCTTTTTGTTCATGTTATTACAATGAAGTTTTTCACATTTTCTAAAATTTCGCTTCACTTTGACATTTTATAAGAAAAAAAAAAAAAAAAAAAANAAAATCAAAAAAAAAAAAAAAAAAAAAAGAAGGAAAGAAAGAAAGGAAAAAGAAAAAAAAACTTTCAAAATATGTACAAAGTTTTAAAATATGTAAATAAATGTGGTAATTATATTTGCCATACTAAAAATTGTAGATTTAAGATTATAATAACATTTTTTTTTAATCTGGTAACAAAACAGATTAGACCCATCTAAGATAGGCTAATTTGCCCAATGATTGATTCGCCCAATCAATGATTCACCAGTAAAGCCGATTCAGTAATGCACTTTCTCTCTTTCCTTTTCTCTTCAATCTTTTATTGGCCATATCTGCGATGATAATGGTTTATTAAAAAAAAAAATTAACAATAAAAAATAACAACGCTTCAAGAAAATTAATTAAACACATAAAAAGCTAAAAAAAATTACTTTAAATATCACGCGCATTGTTTAATGATGCATGACTAAAGTTAATTCGATAATGAATTGAAAAGAAGAAAAAAATTTAAAAATTACAAAAAGACGTTGAAAAAAGTCAATTCATGGTTGAACTAGAATAACAATATAAAAAAGGTTTTTAAATCTATAAAAAAAAAAGCGTTTTTTCCCGTTTTTAAAATATTACATATAAAATTTTTCATAAAATAAAAGTTCACGTTAGTTCATGCTACAAAAGTTTATTTTGTACCTTTTCTCAGAAATTGCTGATACTTTTTAAAATATATTGAAAACTTTTGTAAAGAAAAAATCTTTCGTAAACATATTTTTTGAATAGTGGAAAATGTTTCTTCTAAAATTAAAATAAGCGTAATTTCTTTGTTTAACCATTAAACGTAAATAACGAACGAACTAGCTATTGACCAAAAATAATAATTTTTATTCTTAAATGTTGAACTATAACAAGAAAAACAAACGAAAAGTTTGAAAAAAATTGATTCTAAATTTTTAGGAAAAATAAAATGAGAAGACTTTTTCTTTACCATCAGTCATTTCCTAATATCATGCATGATAAAAAATAAATCACACACATTGACCAATAAAGATAAACTCTTTAAGTTTTTCTTCTTCTTAGGTATTAGACGACGGAAAAGATGAAAGAAAAAAAGAAACCTAAGACCACTGAAAAGAGATTTTAACTTACATTGTCTATCAGAAAGAAAAATAAATAAATAAAAGTTCGAAACAATAATCTGGCGCATTTTTTGAGATCACTATCAATTATGGAGCAGGCGATAATTAATAATTTGTTACGCGTGCATTGTTCTTTAACTGGGTTATCTGAGCCAGTCAATCGATGTCTAAGAAAATGCATTTTAAAACAATAATTAAAATAAACAAATATAAGATTTTTGTTATTTTAGTAATTGTTTTAGCTTTCAGGTAATTTATGAATATCTTAAACAATTTTGTCACAAGAATATAAAAAATAAAAGAATACGTGCATCTATTTATTTTATTCGAAGAGAATATTTTGGGGAATTTATTCGAAGCTGATTGGAAAATTAATGTTATGACTCTTTATTTCTGATAAATTATAATGACACGATCTAGCAGTTAATGAAAAGTTATAGTAATTAACTCCCTACAATATATGAAAAATTTTTTTAAAGCCTTCATAGTGTGTTATTAAACTCACTTATATTTAAGAATATAAATTAAGAAACAGATTAAAAATAAAATAAAATGAACTTTTTTTATTTCTTGTTTTTAATCTGAAAATTTTTTTTCTCTTCTCAATATTTTGTTGGGAAAACTTAGTGAAAGAACATGCTAAGTAAGAATCTAGTTTAATGGGAGAACATGTTAAGGTAAGAAGCTAGTTTAGTGGAAGAATATGTTGAATAAGATGCTCAAGCTCGGCGAAAAACATGTTGAATAAGCTTAGCGGAGAAACAAGTTAGTGGAAAAACATATTAAGTTATTTCGAAATTCCTTAAACTCCAAAAAAAAAAAAAAAAAANTAGTAAAAAAAAAAAAAAAAAAAAAAAATTTTACATTTCAACGCGAAAAAAATATTTAAATTTTACTATTAAGCCTTTTTCCATAAACACACCCTACGTATTTTGAACAACTTATACTCTTTTTTAAAGATATCCCATGTCAAGTAAGAATGGATATACAAGTTCATCATGGGGAAGGTCAACAGCTGAAAAATTTAAAACAGCTTATCGGACCTCCTAAAAGAGAGCAAATGATACTGAACCACCTCACTAATTATTGTAATAAGCAACTGGAGATCGAAGTAATTATTACGATACAACCAATCCATGGACACTTTTACTCGCAGAGGAAGTTGAGTGATTCATTATCACATTGCCTTATCAGGTTTCAAATTGAGAACACATTTTCCAACTTGTGTTCCGCTCGTCCCACGAAAAAACAACCTCTTGATGGAAGTTCAACAGCTGGGGCTCTTCTTCTCCCATCCACTTGTGTCATCTTCTTTTGCACCTCTCTCTCTCTTTACCACAGATGGAGATGAGGGGAAAAAACTCAATCCCATAAACAAAGATATGGAAGGGACGTTAAAATAATCCTTTTCATAAGCATCCTCTACTGGTGTAACATAAGACACCCATCAGCACAAAAAATTAGGATAAAAACCTTTAGATTCCACGGTGACAAAATTTTTCGAGTAACTTACTTATTCTTCTATTTCTTAGTCATTAAATAATCCGATACGCAAAATCTTGAAGAAAAATTTGACTTTTAATTCTGCATTTAAAAAAATAATTAAACATAATAACATATTTTTGTCTTGCGTTTTTATTTCAATTGAAATAAAATATTTTTCAATTACGCAATTGAAATAAAATATATACAAATTTTAATTCTCATTTTTCAATTTCCTTTTATTTAATTCAATATCATAAATAATTTATACTTAATCATTTTAATTTAGAATAAAAAATTACTACCAAGATGTCACGTGTCACCTAGTGGCACACGTGCCATAGGATTGCCATCTCTGATACAGCCCCTTGTGCGTGCCTTACAGAAAAGAAAAAAATTATTTAAAGTTTCTTTTTAAAACATGGCATTACAAACTCCCTTGAAAATTAATTTCAAATAATTCCTATTCTCACAAATTTCTACCTTACTAATTTATCAACTCGAAACTTATGCGTTTTATTAGACAAACTATTGATATCATTTATAAAATGTAACAGTATGCATTTATTTTACGGTGTTAAAAAACACAGACAACTGTTCTATTTTACTATACTACTATATACAGACTGAAAAACACACGCTAACAGACTACAAGTCAAAATAGTGTAGGTTATTATTATTTCTTTAAATACGCTTAAATATATTAAAATTGAATGCAAATTGCTCTTTCAAGGTAATGCCAAAGACAATGACCCTGGGAACTATCTCAACCATTTGAAAGATTGGAATCTTATGATGAACCAATTAAATTTTGGTTCTCTAGGCCAAAGAAAGGAATCGCGACATAATGAATCACGTAATTGGAAGTAAGACAATAGAATATATTTGTAAGTTATTTATTTTAAAAATAGTAATAAGAAACTTGACTAATTTTGATGAGAAATGTTTCTCAGGTTTTAGAATGTATATTTACAAAAAATAGTATTTATGTGTGTGTACTTTAAAAAATTCCAGATACCTATTTATTACGATACGGATTGCTTTTTGCTTTTGTTGAAATATGTAATTTAGATTTAGAGTTCTGGGTGCTAAGGAAAATTCAACACTTCCTTTTATTATCATTATTAGTAGTATTTAAAATATTATTATTATCATTATTCAGAGTCAAATCCCTGTTCTACTATTTTATTATTTAGGAGCATACAAAATTATGTTCCTTTTAAACTCTATCTAAAATTGCTATCACATGCAGTTCCATTTTCGAAAATGTATTTGCCGATTTTGAAATTACATGTAACTCAGTTAACGAAAGAAAAAAATCTCGAGCAATTCTAATAATTAAATTTTCTTTTTTTTTTTTTTTTTTTNTTTTTTTAAAAATTAAATTTTTGAGAGTTTTAAAACATTGAAGTGAAAATGATAAATAGACTTACTATCAAAATAATTAGAACTGCGAGAATTTTTTTAAATTGAGTTCTATGATTTTATTGTATTTTATAACCGTTGTTGAACAGATGACCCAATTTTCTTGGGTTTACAACTACTAACGCGTGTAATTCTGAGCCCAATTCAGAAGATAAGAGAACTCCAGGATCAAGTATAGAGAGAAATTTGCCTGCGTGGAGGACTTTTCGATGGAACTAACCCGCATTTGCGTTACATGGAGAGGAAAACCGCGAAAACCTTCCGAGGCTAGCTTGTCAGCAAGAGGACTTTAATCCCTGATCCATCTACCACTGAGGATATTATAAATCAGCACTGTGGTCGGTGCAAGCAGGATGCGGAATTCGTCATTCCATGATTTTAAAGTTTGCAAATACGACATTCAAAGATCAAGGTGGGGGTGGGGGGAGAACGGTTTAAATTCATTTTTCACAAAACTGACAATTGAAACGCCATCTTGTGCATTTTGAGGAATACTAAGTTTTGATAAATCAACACGTAGAAAATGGGCTCTCCTAGAGAGTTATTATGCAGTGAAGATGAGCCGCACAGGGGAAAAACAGTTTATGTCCACGCGTAGAAAAGAACAGAGAGAAGTACAGTAAAGAAAATTATACAAATAAGAAAGTAGTGATGGGGGAAGAATTTTTAGGATCCAATCCGATTTTTAACATCAAAAATTATAAATTTTATATTGAAATTTTTAGGAGATGCAAAAAATGCTTGTGACGTTCGCTTTTATTTTTACCATTTCAATTGAATGCTCGCTTCTGGGAATTCTCAAACCGACAAATGCCTTTTTCTC